GGATAGGGCCTAATTAAAGGAAAAGTCACGATTACTGTGGAGGAGCTCAATTTTTTGATATGGTTGCCAGTAGTGAGGGAATGATTTGCTAGTATGGTTGCTGACTATGGGGGATTGATTTGTTAGTATGGTTGCTAGCTGTGGGGAGATCAATTTTATTGGTATGGTTGTCCGCGGTGAGTAGGTTCAAAAAATTGATATGGTTATCGGCTGATGCAGGTGGTCAGAACTTCTATTTCGATCATTGTCGCTAATGAACTTTTGAAGTCCACCATTCTTCATAATATTAGGCTCTGATACCAACTCATATAGGGAATAATGTCAAAGATATTTCTTTATATCATTTTCTTTCTTACTGTTATTTTATATATAACATAGCAAGAGAAATATCTAGAAAGATTTAGAAAATATGTAACAAAATAGGTATATTATTCCAAAAATATGCTATAACTAAGACGCACCACTTTGTAACTAAGATGCACTGCATCAAATCAATCCCCCACTATGGTTGCCACATCCTATTTTATTAAACCTATTTTGTTACACTGCATTAGATTACAACTATGAAAGCACGTAGGTTATGCACTTGAGTTCGCTTCAAAAATATCAACTAGATATATTAATAGAGAAGTATCCCAGACAATAGTGATATATCTACAAATACACTAGTTATTGAAAGAAAATTTATAGGGTATTAAGAAAAATATAATTGATTGGAAACTCCATTTATTCAATATGAAGCATGAGGAGGTAAAAAATGCTGAAAAAACACAAAATTGCATATTTTGTTGATGCACATGTAGTGTTGTTAACAAACTGGGTAATACATATATAGATTCAAGCTTTCTATTTTTCTTTTCTTCTTTATTTTTTTTTTTCTATTCCTCTCCTGATATGGAGAAATTATTTTGTGCAAGTCTGGATGAGAATAACAGTCCAAAAAATATTTGTACATAATATGTATCAAATTAATATATATGATTTTGTACACAGTGTGCATACTCATAATCTGGATGAATTCCACTTGTGTTGGCTTGGTTGGATTATTGATATCATTATTTTTTATTGCTTCATTATTCTTAATGGCAAGGAATGCTTGGTGGTTAGAATCACTTGGGGCATCTCCAACCGAAAATCTCATTTTCACTTCAAAATGCAGTGAAACAAAAAAATGTCGTGATTCATCTCCAATCAAACGCCATTTTGTCCCTTAACCGTCGCTCTGTTCTTTCACGCCTTTCTTCCGCAAGTTTGGTAGACACGAAAAAATGGCGCAAATGAACGTTCATCCGTTCGATTGCGACGTTTAAGGGCCTCAATTTAGTTGTTTGCCGAACGGTTGAAGATGATCTTATATAGTTGGTGAAAGTTTCAAGTTGGAATTATGAATACTAATTGTTGTCCCTCATTTATTGGTGACTAATGACATCTAATTTTTATTTATATTTGATGTTTGTATGTTGATTATTTTATTGGAAGATATTAAATTTATTGCATATACGTTTTTGAGCTATAGCTTTTAATTAAATTTGAAGATTGTCCGCTTAGATGGTGTTTTTCATTTGTTGTTATATTTAAAAATTATTGTTGGTTCTATCCATTTGATTATTTTGTTAGGTTTATAATTTTATTAATTTGATGTTAAGGTTAGCTATGTATTTTTTGAATCTTTATATAATTTATATTTGTCTAAATCATTATTTCTAATAGGAAAAAAGGCTCAATTTTTAGTATTATTTTAATAATCATTGTGTAATTTTTTTTTCTTGTTGGAATAAGAGTGATATTATCATTAGTTTAATCGTCATTTTATAATCCACAATACTATTTTTTCGGACCCATAATCTTTCGGGCTTCCTTTATTGTTTATTAATGTATATATATATATAATACCGGCCCGGCCCAAATTGGTGGATCTTGATACCATCTCGGCCCACTTCTCATCTCCTTTTACGCTCTCCTGACTCCTAAAGCTCCAAGCGCCTTCTGGCATCTTCCCTCTCTCTCTCTCTCTCTCTCTCTCTCTCTCTCTCTCTCTCTCTCTCTCTCTCTCATGGTTTCAATAGTGAGGAACTCTTCTCTGATCTTCGGCATCGGTGTTAGCATAGCATTTCTGGAGGCGCCGCAAAGTTTTCCGAGTTTTCTCATCAAGCAAAGAGCAACTGCGATGCCTATGCAGATTAAGCCTTATAGCTATCTTGTTAAGCCTCCTCGCTTCACTTCCTTTACACCTGCCACTGCCTTCGAAGAGGACGCAAAGATCGAGATGGCCGAAGAAACTGTGGTAAAGGTACTTCCTCGAATCTATCCTCGTGCGATTCGTGTGTATATTTCGGAGGCTGTCAATTTTATTGACTCATAAGTCCTTGAAGGGAAAATTGGGACATGTTCGATTTCTGAATCATTATTTGTGCTTTTAGAAATAATTTTATAATTTAAATGAGAAATTGTAAATTTTAATGAGTGAAATTGTTCTGAATTCCGTGGTATTTTAGTTTTATAATTTGAAGGAGTCAATGAAAGTTGGGGTGCTTAAAAGACGTTTGTGCTGTATAAAGAATGTTATTAAGGCTTGTTTGGACGACTTTTTTATCACTCCATAAAGCATCTTTTTTTACAAAAATTAAAGTTTTCATACTAAAAAATTGCTGTAAAAAATAATAAGAAAGCCGTCCCAAATTAAACCTAAGTCATCATTTCACTAATAGAGATATGAAAGGGAAGACAATAATGAATTCATGTGTTTAGAAGAGCGGGTTACAAAATTCGCGGTAGAAGAGTGAGAGAGCTTTGTGTGTTAATTTTATACGAAGATCCATCACACAAATAAATAAATGACAAGAGTATGAATAACAAACTATTTAATGCATACAATCCAAAATGTAATCTTTAAATAGTCCCTAAGTTCAAATTTCCCTCCTAAACTTCTTCTAAAACCTTCCTAATTTGATCTTTTGAACTGGGCTGCTTGATCAATATGTGCACGAGTCGGAACTTCTCTGCCTCTATTGTCCGTAAGCTCGATCCTTAATGGACCGGTCTAACAACTACACTCAATCCTTATTCTCTAGTCACTTCTTTGAGTCCAACGAAAAACTAGGGCTAACTCAAGACTTTCCTACTCATCATGCTTTCTTCCATATAGTTAATAACCTCTCTGCCATGTATTTAACAACATCATTTGTAAGTGATCAACCCCTCAAGGATCGATACCTAGTTTAATGTCTGAGATGGGTTATGACCTTAAAGGGTTCTCACACTACTAAATCCACATTCACATGTATATTTTTAGTTTTTTTGCTTTCAAGATGAGTCCCCAGAGTTTATTCCCAAATTATTGAATTGACCATGCAATGCTTATGAGTTGAATTTAGACTTGCTATACTCGACCACACTTTGTGTTGCTTCGCTGAACTTTGTATGAATCTAATAAGGCCAATCCCTAAGCCCTTAGATGTCATGTGCTAATACTTATGAATCATTGTCAACCATACTTGTTCCCTTGGGACCTTTTCCATTCCATCTTGAACCACCATGCTTCATGGGAAGACAAGTATCCTTTAGCATACCACCACCTTGATCCCCTTGGGACATCTCTTACGAAGCAACCCATATATGCTAATCGAACTCCCAATATGATACATTCATAGGCCCTCTATGGTTAATAGTTTGGGTGCACCAACTTGACTTGAAATGAAAGAATTATACAATCTTGAATAGGTTATCCACTCATCCATATCCATCCTCCCATTACAAATCAAAGTCATAGTCACAAACTCATAGCACACTTGATGTCCTTAATACTAATGTTTTTAGGAATTAGGTCTGGGAAATATTTTGGACCTTATTTCAATTTGCCTTGGAACCTCTTCCTTCTTCCATCATTCCTTGAAACTCAAAATAGCAAGAAGGATCACCCTAGCTCATGAGATCTTTCATAGCCCATAAAATGTGTCTTTGTATTAGCTACAATTATTTAGAACAATTTATTTTTTCATTTTGCTTGGTGAATTTTAACAAATACTTCTTAACATGTAAAAATCCTTTATAAGATAATCAATGTTAATAGAGAAAATGGTCTCTAAATTATTTGTGGGAGGGTCATTTTAATCCCAGACTATCTAAAATATCCAATTTAGTTTCTTGACTTCTCAAATATGATCCAAAATACTCTTGTACTTGGCCATGCTTTGTGTTGCAGAGCCAATCTTGGTATATATCATATAAGCCAAATTTTTAAACTTTTGTTGTTCATGCACTATTACTTCTGAATCACTATTAACCATATTGGTACCCTTAGGGCCTTTTCGATTCAAACCTAATCCATCATACTTCATCATATGGAGGCAAGTCTTCTTTAGCATGCCACCAACTAGATCCATTTGGAATATCTCATAAGAGGCAATCTTTGATGCTAATCAAACTTCATAGATGATATGTTTGTACGCCCTCTGTTGTTAGTATCTTAGGTCTACTAGCTTGACCCTGAATGACAGAATCATATAATATTGATCATATTGACCACTCATCCCCATAAATTCACCCATATTATAGATCAAACCAGCAGCTCAATTGATGTTTTTGAATTCTCATCCTTCTCTGCTACCCTTATTGAACTCCAAAAGAATGAGGAGGTTCACCCTAGCTCATGAGAGCTTTCATAGCCCATAAAGAGCGTCTTTCCATTCCCTCCAATTGCTCCCAGATTTCCCTTTCTTGATAGCAAATTTGAATGCCAAAGTTGACATTTTTTTTCCTTTCTAGTTGATGAATTCTAACAAATAGTTACTAACATGTAACAATCCGTTATAAAACGATGATTACACACCAAATTGGCCTAGTTACTGATACTCACAACCAAGTGGCTCAGTGTGGTATCAACGACCTGTTAATGGGCAAATCTTGGTTTTAAAGAAATATATATGTCATCTCTGTGAAACTAAATTGTACAATTTCCCATGTTTCCTTCCAATATTTGTCTTATTTAAATTTTTCTGCAGGAAGACTCAGAAGTAGAACCTGCTTTTGACAATAGATCAAATGTTGAAAGTATTTCAGTTAGTGAAGAAAAGTTCCCTTCTGCTGTAATGGCTTGCCTACATGCATACAAGGAAGCTTTGGAAAATAATAATCTAGCCAAAATTTCTGAAATAGAGGCCTTTCTCCAGTCCATAGAAGATGAAAAGAACTCCCTTGCAAGTAAAGTTACTGAATTATCCGGGGAGTTGCTTATAGAAAAAGGCCGAATACTTCGGATAAGTGCTGATTTTGATAATGTCAGGAAAAGGACAGAAAGAGAAAGGTTGTTACTAATGGAGAATGTACAGGGAGAAGTTGTAGAAAGATTGTTGCCTATTTTAGATAGTTTTGAAAGAGCCAAAGCTCAGATTAAGCCAGAAACAGATGGAGAAAAAAAGATCAACAGTAGTTACCAGAGCATATATAAGCAGTTTTTAGAGATTTTAACTTCCCTGGGTGTTGAAGCAATTGAAACTTTGGGAAATTCATTTGACCCTATGGTAAGTTCCTTTCTCTTAATGCTTTTAGGGTTATTGAATTCAATATCCAAACTTGCTAAGTTTTGAAGACTCCCATCTGCCTTAAGAAGTTGTAATCAAAGTTTGTTAAAATTACTCACCTACTCATTTATTTCCTTGGTATAATTATAAGTGCGTTTGAAAAAAAAATTTGTGTTGAGATATCCTTACAAAAGTTTGGTCTGGATGAATCTCAAAGTCATTAGATTTACTTCGAGATTAGTATAATATATGAAAAATCAAACAAAATTTATGATATACGAATCTCAAAGCAAATTTAATAATTTTGAGATCTATCTTGAATAAAAATTTTCTTTATATCCTGTTCATAATTATTTCCAAATACATTTACTTAAACTGAATCCCAACAAGTTTTAGCTACAACAAAACATCACTATTGATCTTTTATTCCATATAAACCATCACAATTCACAAGTGTTCTATATTTTAAAAACTATTTATTAACTTATTTTTTCTATTGGAAAAAGCTTCATGAGGCTATAATGAGAGAAGACTTAGCATAGTTTGAACAAGGAATCATAATACAAGAATTTCGCAAGGGTTTCAAGCTTGGAGGCAGGCTTCTACGCCCATCAATGGTGAAGGTTTCTGCAGGACCTGGACCTGCAAAGCTCTAAGAAGCTGCAAGACCTCCAGCTGATGAAGACAGTAAGGAAATGGATAGGGAAAGTGCTGAGGAAGGCAAAGATCCTGTTTTTAAGTGAAGTGCTTCTGTACTTAACCAAATTTTGTTGAAACTGAAGCTGTCAAAGCACCATTTTAATGAGTTTGTTATCTTATTGTAATATTCATCAAAGGAATCATCACCTGGTATGGCATTTTAATCAAGGCCATATTTTTTTTGAACTGATGCAAATAATACTAGCAATTAGCAAAATTTGTCCTTTTCCATTTTTTTTCCTGATGGGATCATAATTTGTTCGCTTATTGTAATATCATAGTTTGTTGAGACTGAAATTTATGTCGTTGAAATTTGTCTTCTTATTAAAATGAATAATTCCTTATAAACTTTGTAATATGAGAATTATTCATCAAGCGGTTGCAATGTATATTTCTTCTTCTAATTTCATGTGTATAACATCAACATCAAGTCTTAATTACATTAGTTCTTTTTCTCTATTTTGCCCTATTTGTGCAAATAAGTAGCGGAAAATAGAAAATCACACAACAAAACTCAATGAACATGATGAGATTTATGTGGTTCGGCAAAGAATTGACTACGTCCATGGGAGGAATGATTTCGGTATTGTAGAGAGAGGGTTACAATTGCAATCTTACAACAAACCTGAAATCGCTATATATAGATTTGAAATGGAAATTAATATGAAAAATCTAATCAATGCTATAATTATATCTCCTAATTAATGTCATAATTAGAGTCCTAATTAATATTGTAATTAAAGCTAATAAAAGCTTTTCTAATCAATGATATATTAGATACAAAAATGTTTTCATAATACTGTTAAGAGTCAAATTTTCATTCAAATCTAATAAATAAAAATCTTTTCTAATGCCTTATAGCTAAGGTTTTTTTTTTGGTCTATTTTTACATTTTTTTAATATAGGATGAATCACATACATCTACTCTCATAACCGAGTTGTTGGAAGGCTGAAGGTTTATGTAACCAAATAATCTAAGACGACTCTCTCTAATCTTATATGTTACAAAGCAACTCTAATTTTTTTTTTTAGCAAAAGAAAAATCCATTTAAAAAGAAAAGCAATACACCACAAGATCACAAGATGGCCACATAGAGAAGATTACATCCAGAGAAAACTAATAATCACCAGGGGCAAACAATCTAACCGAAAAAAAGACAAATATAACCCATAATCAGATGGACTCAAACTGCCACCTAGTTGTCAGACATAGGCCATCCAAGGAGGTAAGAAAGGTAATAGCCAAAATTCCAAGACAACAAGACCTCAAAATTCTAAATCCACTAAAACCGACAAAGAAAGAACCACCGAGGTTGCTAACCAAGCCTTGGCCATCCGATGTGCGTGCAGGAAACCTGCTTCATCATTGTCCTGTCATGATTCCACGTAGCAAATAGAAAACAATAGCAAAATAACCAAATAGCCATAGCCACCAAACTTCCAAAAAGGAATATCATTTCTTTTTAGATTTTCATTTTCTATGCTTAACACTATTTTTGAAAAAACCAACGTCCGCAATTTGAAGAAGACTTAAGTTAAAGTTGTCCTCAACATCCAAATCATTCTCAATAATTTCCTCCCCTCCTGCAGAAGAATTGCCATCATGTAAGGAATCACCTTTCCTCACAATATTATCCCCAGCAAGGTGAGCTAACATATCAACATTGGAGATAACATATATAGGCACCACAACTTTCACATTACCCAGCTCAACCGAAGCTTCACCATCCCCAAAAACTAAAGAAACCGAATTATCATCTGACACCTCCACAACATCAACAAAAGTAGGACTAGCTATAATGTTAATGCAACTATTATTGGCATTCATAGAAATAAATATCAATACCATCTACACTATCTATGTTAGTACAATCATCAATAGCTAAAGGCGCCAAATCCTCCCCAACATAAACAGGATCATTCAAGGGTAAAATAGAAGCCAACGAACCAACAACATCCCCAACAAGAGCATCATTAGGACCCAGTTCTAACGCCAAATCCTTGGCAATGCAAGAAACAACATTATCCAAATCCAGACTCAAAACATTAATACCAATATCCAAAACAACAGGGCCAACAGAGGCCAAAGCCACAAGTTCAAACGAACCATTCACAACAAAAGGAAGATCCACAACGACTTCCCCACACCCAAGCAACACATTATCACCAACAACAGTTGAGGGCCCAAACCGAGAAGCAACCCTAGCACCCTCATCCATCGATACAATATCCATCCCACAGGCTGCAACCCCATCATCAAAATTTCCATCAACAATAACCTTGTGCAAAACATCAATTTCATTTCCAGCCAACTTAATAAGATAAGAAGAACTAACAAGAACATTCATCGGGGTAGAAGATTGTGACCGACACTCCCCTTGTACACTCATTTTAGGTTTTGTTTGAGACGATTTTTTACTGCTTTTAAAAATAATTTTTTTAGTACAAAAATATCTAATTTTAAAAACAATTTATTGAAAAATTATTTTAGATAGTAATAAAAAAACTATCGCAAATGAAACTTCATATTAAATCTCTAAGTGTAGCATCTTAATATTTCATGCATATATTTAAAATATAATTTCTCAATGTATTACTGTACATTTCTTCTTCTAATTTCATATATGCATTAAAAAAATGAAAAATGCTCATATTTATTAATAGATAATGCTCCAAGATAAGAAAATCTGATTAGATGTCACCAGCCACCAGCACCACTTATCCCTTATGCAAATCATTCTTGCATTTATTATATCTATGTGGTGCTTTTCAAAAGCTAGAGGTAGACATCCATCAATCAAAGAGAAATAAATAAATAAAAATTATTTTATAATATTTTAATATAAGTCATATAATATTTTTAATATTTAAATTAATTAAGATAATTCAGAATCTCTTAATTGATTGTCATAATTCTCAACCAAAAAGTCAAAATAAACTGCATAAATTTAAATTATATCAAAATAAGTTTATAAATTTAATAATTATCAAATTTATCTCAATATAAATTTAGTTTTTTTTTAAAGAAATTAAGTTAGTATTCTAAACAAAATAATGGTTTAAAAAATTATTGAATTTAAGGTGAATGTAATGGATAATTAATTAATTAATTTTTATTTTATATTAGTAAAATTCCATCCATACCTAATGTTGGTCATAATTTGTGGCCTCTTCCTTTGTTCCCATTTAATTCCCGAACTGCCTCTTCTACAGCTACATAGAACAAACTTGCATGAAGAAACAGTTTGCCTCATCTTTTTAGCTTCCTTTGGTTGCCATTATATATTATACTATATATATTATAATGCAATTTTTATTTGTTCAGATGTCGACGGTGAGAATCATCTGATTTTCTCTCTGTATACAATAAAAGCGTAATCAAATCGAAGCTGCTATAGTAACTATGATTTGACAGCTGCTTTTTACTATAGATAGAGTAAAAATAAACGGTTTCTTTCCGTCCAAGTCAGCACACAATAATCTCTCTATTTGTTAGCCATTTCTCAAAAAAAAAAAAAAAAAAAACTTAGGATATCTAATAATTTTTTAAAAAAATACAAATTATGAATATTTACTTTAAAATAAATCATAATTTAATTGTAATTAAATCTTATGCGTTAAATCCCAAAATCAATTCAAATATTTATAATATATACTCATTAAATTTATTTCTTTGGAATACATTCAAATATTATATAATATTATATATTTATATATAATACATAAATATCTATGCATAAACTTTATATATATATATATATGTATATATTTATAATTTTTAAGTTTTCCTTTACTTGGTGGAATTGTTGAATTTTTTAAATTCTCAATCAGCACATGTGCTGGATTGAGAATTTACTAGCTTTCTAGAATTCAACCTGTCCAGATCGGCCAGAAAAGAAGAAGACAAGTTGGTTATTTGCTTATTGGGGTCATTTCTATAAATTCAAGTAGAGATTTTGGGATTCATCCGAGTAGAGCAGTGGAAGGAAGAAGGTAAATAGTAGGAAGAAAAAAAAATCATGGAAGAGTTGGATGAAGTTCCTCAACTTATCCATGGAGTTCTGGAAGTAACGATCTTTGAAGCAAATCATCTCCATCACTTACTTCATGGCACAATCATAAAGGTCTGTGCTTAATTTCTGCTTAGACGAGTGATTTGATATCTTGAGAGCTCGAGTAATGGGGAAATTAGACGCTTCTGTTCCAAAAATATCATTTATTCTCTTTTTAATTGCAGATAGAGGTTGTATTTTGGTCTTTTGATTTTTTAGTTAGGTTATACGGTCATCTTCTTGTTGTTGTTGAAGTGAAAATCAGTTCAAAGGTGAATGTTCTGTCCGACATATGAACTGTTTGTTAAAATGCTCTAACTTTGTTGAATTTTTTTTATAAGAAGCTTTTGATCCCAAAAACATATTCTCTTTTCAGCAGTAGATATTTTGATTTTCAGTTAGGTTACGCCGTCATTTGCTAGTTGTTTTTGATGTGGGAATCAGTTCATTGATGAGTTTTCTCTCCAAAATATAAACTTCTTGTTGAATTTTTTTTATTAAAAGCTTCTGATCCAAAAATATATTCTCTTTTCAGTAGTAGATATATAGAAGATGTATTTTGATCTTTTGATTTTTAGTTGGATTATACCTTTATAAGGAAGTTGATTTTGAAGTGAGAAGCAGTTTTGATGAATTCTCTCTGCAAAACATGGAGTGTTTATTGAAATGCTCCAATCTTGTAGATATTTTTTTCTAATAATTTCAGGTTGAAGAAAGCATAGAAAAGGCCTTACACTTGCATGCAGTCGCTCATCGAAAGCTGTATGCCACTGTAGATATTGGCATTGCAAGGCTAGCAAGAACCAGGGAAGTAGAGTTCCATTCAACTAACCCTAAGTGGAATGAGTCATTTAGGATCTATTGTGCCCACACGTCATCTTCCATCCACATCTCAATCAAGAACCAACTCTTGGTTAGTGGCAAGGTCGTTGGCCGTGCTAAGATCCCTATCCATGGCATACTCGAATCGAAGCTTGTTGAAGGCTGGTTTAACCTTTACGACGATGATGGCCACAGAGTCAAGGAAGCACAAGTTCGAGTTTCTCTCAAGTTTTTTGAAGCCTCTTCTGACCGTTTCTGGAATTCTGGAATTAGACTCCCTGAATTCACAGGAATACCAAATTCTTATTTCCCAGAAAGAACTGGATGTGAAGTCACACTATATCAGAACGCACATCTTTCAAACAATTTTCAGCCAAAGATTCACCTTTATGGGCACAAACTTTACAATCCAAGAAGAGTGTGGGAAGATCTTTACATTGCAATTTCAGAGGCCAAACATTTCATTTATGTTGCAGGTTGGTCTGTGAATGTGAACATAACACTCATCCGTGATCCTGAAAGAATGATTCCTGGAGCAGCTGGTGTGTCTATTGGAGAATTGTTAAAGAAAAAAGCAGATGATGGCGTGTTGGTTTTGGTGATGGTGTGGCAAGACCGGACTTCTGTTTCGTTGCTGGGAAATGCCGGGCTAATGAAGACTCATGATGAAGAGACCCTCAATTTCTTTGAGGGAAGTAATGTTAAGTGTTTTCTTTGTCCAAGAAATGCCGATCCTTCGCTCACAGCAGTTCAACATGTTGAGGTCAATGCTGAGTTCACTCATCACCAAAAGACGGTATCACTAGATGTCGCTGAGGTCGGAAGCAACAGGGCTCGTCGTGTCGTGAGCTTTATTGGAGGGATTGATCTTTCTGATGGGAGATATGATGATGAGAAACACACACTATTTGGTAAATTGGATACTGCATATGCGAATGATTTCTTGCAGAATAATTTCCCGGGTGCAAGCCTTCGGCTTGGCGGCCCAAGGGAGCCATGGCATGATCTTCATTCCAAGCTCGAGGGACCTGCAGCCTTGGATGTGCTCACAAACTTTGAGCAGAGGTGGAAGAAACTATCACCCGAGGAGTTATCAAATTGCTTGTTGAATATTCAGGATAAGCCTGATGTCTTCCCCCTACCTTCAAATTTAACAACTGGTGAGTCTTGGAATGTCCAGGTGTTTCGATCCATTGATGATTCATCTGTAATTGGTTTTCCCTCGAATCCTGTTGAGGCTTCAAAAATGGGGCTGACAAATGGAAAAAACATCACAATTGATCAAAGCATACATTCTGGGTACATCGAGGCTATCAGAAGAGCAAAGAGATTCATCTACATTGAGAACCAGTACTTCATGGGGAGCTCTTCATCATGGAAGCAGGATCAAGATACTGGGTGTTTGAATTTAGTCCCAATTGAGATTGCTCTGAAGATTGCAAGCAAGATAAAAATCGGCGAGAGGTTTACGGCTTATATCATTACACCGATGTGGCCCGAGGGAATCCCTGAAGGGGGTGTGGTACAGGCAATACTTCACTGGTATAGATTGACCATGGAGATGATGTATGGAATTATAGCAAAAGCAATAGAGGAGGCAGGCTTGGCTGGGAAGACTCACCCAACTGACTATTTGAACTTCTTCTGTTTGGGGAATAGGGAGATAAAGCGACCCGGGGAATATGTGCCTCCTGATAAACCAGAGCCTGAGACAAACTACTGGAAAGCTCAGGTTAACCGGCGTTTTCTCATTTATGTGCATGCCAAGCTCATGATTGGTGAGTAAAATTTGAACTTTGAAGTTTCATTACACAAACTTATGCTCCTAATGAAAACTTTTTTAGCTCAGGATACAATACACTTATTATTGAATTGCTTGCCCATTAAAAGAGAAGCATAATACTAAGTTAAGTGTGGCGGAGATGAGGATGCTTAGGTGGATGAGTGGCTTTACCTTTAGAGATAGGATACGAAATGAGCATATATACGTGAGAAGGTTGGAGTAGCTCTAGTAGAAGATAAGATTAGAGAGAGTCATCTTAGATGGTTTGGTCACATCAAACGGCAGCCTTCCGTTGACCCAGTTAGGAAAGTAGAGGTATTAGATTTGACTTATGTTAAGAAAGTTAGAGCCAGACCTAAAAAGACTTGGTTAGAAAATGTTAGAAATGATCTTTCTTTATTAATTTTAAATGAGAATTTGATTTTTAATAGGTCACAATGGAGAAAAAGGATTCATGTACCGACCCCACTAGTGGGATAAAGGCTTGATGTTGTTGTTGTTGTTGTTGTTGCAAGAGAAGATTTCTTGTCTTTTAACAATTAACTAATAGATAGGACTACCTTGATTGAAAATCTTTACTGGAATGTGCAGTGGATGATGAGTATGTGATCATTGGCTCAGCGAACTTAAACCAGCGATCTTTGGCCGGCGACCGAGACACTGAGATTGCTCATGGTTCCTACCAGCCAGCATACCTTAATGCGGAGCACGGGCAAGCTCGCGGTCTCGTTCATGGCTACCGAATGTCACTATGGTATGAGCACTTCATGAGCCATCATCCTGGTTTGCATCGAGTTTTCCTGGAACCTGAGAGCTTGGAATGTGTAAGAGCCGTGAGAAGCATCACTGAGAATTTGTGGGAGAAATACATTGGAGATGAGGTTGTGAACTTGCCTGGTCATCTATTGCCATTTCCTGTCAGGGTTTCTGCTGAAGGAGAGTTGTCAGAGCTCACAGCTGATGGTTGTTTTCCAGACACTAAGGCATCTATCAAAGGTGATGGTTCTTTGAAATCTTTGGCCATTCCTCCTATGGTGACTAACTAAGCTTGAGTTTGTTTTTCATCAAATAAGGTACCTGTATGTGTGCCCCGGTGCTTCTTTGCTATTATTAAGGATTGAATGCTTGAAAGAAGTATCATAAAATTGTGCTTTTCAAGCTAATAAAGCATCTTGATGTAGTTGCTGTAAGAAAAAGTTGAAATCAAGAAGCTAACTGATCTCAATTCCTGGCCCTCAAGTTGGATAGAATTTTTTCTCTTGTGGCATTTTAGTGGTTTAACATCGTAAATATAAAATTTTATCGGTGTATGATTTGTTTCTTTATTGTATCTGTCATGAGACATTTTTTGAAGCGAGTAATTAGAACAATAGAAAAAACAAAAATAATGGAAGACTCAAGACTAAGGCTTCGTTTGGGACGGCTTTTCTATTGCTTTTCTATTGCTTTCTAAAACGGAGTTTTAGTACAAAATTAAAAAAATTTGTACTAAAACTCCGTTTTAGAAAGCAATAAAAAAGCCGTCCCAAACGAAGCCTAAGACTTTCTTTGGGACCGCTTTTTTTCTGCTTCTTAAAACAATTTTTTGGTACAAAAATTTATAATTTTGTATTAGAAAGCTACTTTAAGAAGCAGAAAGAAAGCCGCCCCAGGCTTTGTTTGGGACAAATTTTTTGTTGTTTTTTAAAGCAGATTTTTAGTATAAAATTTTGTAGTTCAAGAAATTTTTGTACTAAAAAGTTTTCTTTAAAAAGCAGTAAGAAAATTATTCCTAACGAAGCCTAAGAGTGCAAAGAAATCCATATAAGCTGTGCAGCTGAGTCATTGAAAAATATCAAATAATAATGATAGAAAATCAAGTAATATCTTGGTGTGATGTGTTAACTAGCAAATTTTGTGATATTATATGTTCTTATCTTAATAGTAATAAAAGATGATTGGTTCCTTTCTAATTTAGCTATTCTTACTAATATAATTAGGCTAGATTGAGTTAGTCTACATAGCAATCGACTTAGGTTGCTACCAAAATTAGGACGATTTTATGACCAAAAGAAATGAGAAGAAAAATAAAAGTCATAATCACATTGATCATTGTCCATAAAAAAGATGGAATCAAACCACATACCTTGCAATGAATATACAACATTTTTATATGAACAATTGTGTTATGTGCCAAATGGCCTTTTGAGAATCTCAGATGTATTAAGGGGTTGTTTGGTTGGAGAAAAAGTAAATGCAATGCATAATAAATACTTTGCTTTTTAATTTTTTGATGTTTGGTTTCCCATTGAAGTAAGGTAAAATAATTTCGCAGTGTATTTGGAACTCCTGCTTTAGTTTATTTTTGACGTAAAGTAAACCAAGTAAACCCGCTCAAATCGAGCGAGAAAAGAATTCACGGCCAGCATCTGTTTTGGCTCCTTCGTTCCTACTCAACATCACTTCTTAGGAGGCATCCAAGCTTTGATTTTCATCTTCTTTATTTCTCTGTTGCCATTTGACTTCATCGCTTGCATGCGGAGTCGATTCTCCATTATCGTTCGACTTCGTTGCTTGCGTGCGGAATCGAGCAAGAAAGGAATTCATTTGCCGTTCGTTTCAATCAAAATGGGCTAAGCTGACCTTCGCTGCAGACAACATGAATAATCTCCGCTCAAGAGCCGCACCTCCGACCTTCGCATTCGGGACAGTCGTCGTGTACTCGGATCTCCATCGGGCATTCCGACTCAACCATTGCTTTCGGGATGGCCTGGATGACATGCTACTTTGCTCCGATTCTATGGCTTTCCATTTCTGAGCAACACAATGTATGCTACTCCATTCGGGAACCTAGAGTCACAGGATGGCCGGACCACCTCATGCGGGAACTTAGAGCCATAAGGCATGTGTTCTGTGTTTGGGAATAGGCACACTAGGTGCTCGATTTAATGTCCCATTCGAATGGGCCTTTGATTTTACTTTGCATACACCTAGTCAAACTGAAAAAACAGTTTCCTTGCATTCAATTTATAGACAACCAAATAGCCTATTGCATTTACTTCACGCTACTTTACAACCCCTAAATAAAAACAACTGTGAGATGGTTATCTCATGAAAATGATTATTTTCAAACTCTTATTGGTACTTTTCCATCTGCTAAGTCGATTGATGCTTTTAAGCTTCATTTTTGGGACAACTTCTAATTAAAAATTATTTACTAGAAAGCTACTTTAGAAAACATTGAGAAAACAACCCCGAACGAAACCTTAATATCGAATAGAAAAAACTTTTGCTTTTAGGTATGGATAAGTTGGATCCCAACATACATAGAGTGAAGTTTTTAAGATAGTATGTTGCCCATAAATGGAGAAGAATATTAAGGAATGTTCATGAATTAATAAAACCAAACCTGACTAACACAAAATTGTTCATTGAGTTGGGCAAAATTTTTTCAGATTATAAAATTCAACCTATTTAAGCTAATCAATTCGATTTGGTTTATGCTTCCACAAATATAATAGACCAAAGATCAACCACAGTATTAAGTATTAACAAATAAAAACAACCCTAGGGTTTTCTCTTGGGTGGCGTCGTGGCGTTTTCCCGTCGTCGGCGGGGGATTTTCCGCTCTGCCTCTTCAGGAAAGTTGTTCTCTACTCTCTTCTATTGTTTCTCTGTGGTTTTTCTTTCCTTTTATCCGGCATTTTCGGTATGCCTTCGTCTATTTTGAGAGATCCTGGCTTTTTTGGGGGGATTTCTCACCCTAAGTCTTTTCTTCAAGCTCTTGCTGGTTCTTCTTCTTCTTTTTCTGATCTGAAGCACTCTACCTTTCGTGGTCTTCCTGCTTTGTGGGTTTCTGATGAAGAAATTAGGGCTTTAGCGGAACCATTTAGGTTTTCTTTGGTTGGCTGTCTTTCACGGCAAGCGCCCTCCTCTCGATCGATACGTAAATTTTTTTTTAACCTAAAGTTGAATGGCGAGGTTTCAGTTACTGTTCTGATTCTACCCATATTTTGATAAAATGGAGAAGGATTTTAGATTACTGTAGGGATTTTGCCACCGTTCTATGTTGGTTTTCAATTGTCTATATTGAAATTACGGAAATGGTCGCGACTGGGATATCGGCGTCTGAGTCGCCAATTCATCCCGATATGGATCTCTTTTCCTCACCTCCGTCCGCCCATTTTTTTTGCTCCGAGGATCCTTTTTTGGTCTGGCGTGAGTTATTTGGGCAACCGTTAAATTGACGAAGCGACTGTCGGTTGGCTCTCGTCCTTTCGAATGCGCCTGTTTTTAGTTTGAAATGAATTATTACTAAAAAATTATCCTTAAGCAAGTTTGGGTTAGGATCTGATTCATTAGGGTATGTTCAAGAAGTGGGTCTTTGACGATTTCCTCATTTTTGTGGTATTTTGTTAAAAATTAGAAACACATTTCTGGTAAGTGTATTTCGGGCCTGTTCCTGTTCCTGCCTTCTCCATTGTGCGGATGTTCCTGTGGAAATTAATGCTCCTGTAGGTGGTGAGAATGGCATTAAGGGTGCAATGAAAATGTGGTTAAATGTCCTGAATATGTGGGGATGATTTGCCATCTGTTGATAATGTTGTATGTCGCAGGAGAATTGGTCGTTTCGTTGGATGTAAATAACTGTAACGATGTGCCGCTGGTTGCAGATAAATCCCTATTATCTCCGATGCCATTCCTTTCGTTCCCGTGTTGCTGGATGGGGGCGTTAGGCAGGGTGTGATTTTGGAGTCTTCGGGTATTGCTTTGGCTGCCTGGAAGTTGATTAATGCACAATGTGAATGTCTGAGCTTCTGATAGTCTACCTATATGATACGAATATTATTGGGTTATGATTTAAGGTGATAGATAATCGGAAGGTGGTGCTGGGATGACATGATTGTTGGATGGAACCGTGAGTGGGATTTGAGGGCTGCGGCCCGTCGCCTGAATGTAGAGGAAGGGATTCAGATTGTTAACAGTGTAATTGAGATTCCTGTAAAAGAGGTTGATACACTTCGGATGGCTGATTGGGTGGGGAAGTCTTCGGGCAAAGAAATTAGGAATCAGAACAGTTGGTTGATTGGTTCGTCGGAGGAGGAAGTTGATTCTGAATGTTCTGAGTCGGATAATGACTTTTCCCTTGTTCGTTCCTCAGTTGCCTCTCGGGGAAAGTTTTGGGTGCGTGGTCGTCGTAAAAGATGATTTGGAATGCTTTTGTATTGTTCGTATTGCTGTTTATCTTTTGAAAGGCTAGGATTTATTGCGATTTGGTGCTACGCGTGGATGAGGGCGATGATGTGGTCGGGGCTCACGTCCCGGCCGTTAAGCTGGTGGCAACCGTTTATTTCTGGATGGTCCGTGCGGGACGGCTTGGACGTTTGAAGCCTGGACTGTTTACTGAGCCCACTCTTTGCTTGCAATTCGCATTGTTGTTTGGTCGCCTTTATTTTGCTAGGCGTGTGTTGTATTTTGTAATTTCTTGTTGGCATTTTAATGAATTTTATTTAAAAAAAAAAAGTATTAACGTTATTGTGATTTTATGTTGGTTTCACTGTTTTGCAAGATGCTTTGATTTTGTATTTCAGCCCGATTGTTTTTACCCTACTACATAGGGTCAGCTATATTAATCATTTTTCTTAATTGTATTCTATTAAGAGTTAAATTCTTATTCAAATATAATAAAAAAAGTCATTTTTAATCCTTTCTAATCCAAACATTTTAGGTCTACTTTTATCTTTCTTAACAGAGGATTAGTTAATTTAACCATTTTAGACATGTCAAATTATTTTTCAAATCTTTCAACAAGGCTATGTAATAAAAATAAGCAAGCTTATTAATCAAAACTTCCTTAATTTGTTTGTTGAATTAGTAATTAGAATCTTTTACCCTAAAATGAACCTCAAATCATAATCCAATTTTAGATTAGGGCTTAGTTGACATTAATTTTATTTTATTATTAAATAAATATTTTATTTATTATGTTTTATAAGATGTGTAGTAATGACATAAGTAACAAACATTTTAAAATCTTCTTGCAAGCCATTAGGAGGATAATCATCTTATCCTCTTCAAGAACAAGAAGACCAATGAGAGCCAACTCATTGCATAAGGTAGAGATATTGTTGCAAAATCCTTTATAAGATTCTATTTAATTTATAGAGGTGGAGAAGAGTTTGTAGGCATAAAATTAATTTCATGATCCTACAATATTTATGAGATATGTTATCCTAAATTGACAAAAAAATCTAATAGCCTTTAAAAATAATATAATCATATATTTGTAAATC